GCAGGATACTGCTGACTCACGCCTGATGTATTTGATTATATTCTATGATTTGGTCAAATTTTTTCCTTTTTTTTTTTTTTTCAAAACTAGTATTCATTCAAAAGCACATTCTCTATATGTGCTTTGATTTTTAATGATAAAACCATTTTTGTGTGTGTCAAAGTAAATGAAACAATACACTTTCATTTTAAATAACATCTAAGTGTGAGTGCGAAACATCTGATTCGGCTATAGGTAAATGATGAGAAGTATAACAAAGTGCAGTAAACGGTAAAATGATTTGCGCTACACAATCCAGTGTGTTTATGATTACAATAATAATAAAATAATATAACAAATACAGCATAATGGACAGTTTTTGTACAGGTAAAATAACCAGAAGCAATGGGAAGTCTTGGACATTCAAGCTTTATTTTGCTTTCACATAAAGTAATTTTCTTTTGTTTGTTCCACTAAAAAAAGCTTCATCCATACCTAATCTTTAATTACAGCGTTATCGTTCCATTTTCTAAGCAATCCTCAGTTCAGAGAAAGAACACGCACTGGCTTTATGCAGATTACACCTGTGGAGGGCCATCTAATTAGATTTGTCTACCCTGGCTGATAAAAGTGAGAGAGACACTACTGATTTGCTGATGGCCTTACTGAGAGTGATATGTCTTCAGTATGGTGTTTTGCAGAGGATTATGGGTAGAATCATGGCGTGTAATGCTGTTATTAGGCTGTGATCAGGATGACCGATAACAGAAGCCCACAGGAGCAAGTGACTTGCGTTCCCCGGTGATTCTCTTAATCTTATGCCATGATGGCTATTAAAAAATTCCAATTTAGGCAGCTTGGGTGCCAGGCGGCCTACAGTAAGAATGGCTTTAAATTGCGATGAGTTATCGCACTCGCTGTTGTAAACGGGAGCGGATCTTAAAAAGGGGTTTGCAAGTCTGACAAATTGATTTAATACCAATGTGATTCTATCTCCCTAATGATCTTCTGATTCCTCTTCTCCCAGGGTGTAGACGCTTGGATTTCTAACCACTTTTTAATTGCAAACCCTTTCCTTATTGTGTGAGCATGCACTTTTAGTTCAAAACGTGCACTGAGGCTCTGGCTCATTCCACAGTCCCAGTTTAGCTTCAGTATGATACCTCTGCGGTGGGCAACGGCTGATTTATGGAAAATTAGAGCGTTTTTCTTTTTTTTTTGTGGAGTCAACAGTGTGTGGAGAAGAAATGAGGGAAGAGGCATATTGGTTCCTTAAATGCCTGACTGTGGATGTCTGTCAGTGCTGTTATTTAGTACCTTTGCATCCTTTGGGGATTCTGCATAGAGTATTCAACCCATCCAGATATCTCACAGCAGTTCCCTAACCGCATCTTGCAAAATCAAGTCGTAAATTGAACCTTTCTCAAACACAGACTTCTGAAATAAAATGACTTTGTATGTTATTTTGCACACATATTCAAGCAATTGCTGCAGTGTAGCTCCTATGCAGGCACGTGCACAGGTAGGGCTCAACCTGTGCAGAGCACATGCCCTTTTTGCCCTTACAGACCAGTAAAAAAAAGGGGGGGTGCCCTTTTTCAGTTTCAGCACATGCCCCTCAAAAGGTCTGTGCACGGCCCTGCTCCTATGTATCCTCAATAAATAAATAAATAGTAAATGGCAAGTGAATTTAGGCATAACATTGAATGGATATTCATTTTAAGATATACTTCTTTTTTTTGAAAGTTTGCATTTACAACATTATTAAATGTTTATAATATTAACTAAATGTAAAAATAAGAGAAAGGAGCATGCACAATTAAATATTGGCCAGTATATATCCAGTATCAGGTATATTGATGGATATATTGTGTCAGGTAGTTGATATTGTTGCAATGTCAGAAGAACCATTTTTGGTTCCCCAAAGAACCTTTCAGTGAACAGATCTTAAAAGAGCTGTTGTTTTTCTTAGTATAAAGAATATTATCTAAAGAACCTTTCCCACTCTGAGGAAACTTTTTTTTTTTTTTTTTCTAATGAAAATGTTCCATGAATGTTTAAGGTTTTTCATGGAACCATATAGATTCCAATAAAGATATTGTTATTTTTAAGTGTGTACATCAATTAACAACGGATAAAATCCCACCCTACATTTGCTTTCTTCTTTATCATGCTGTTTTACTCAGCAGTGTTGCAGGAAAGTGGGCTGTGAATGCCATTTCATGTTGACTCAGTGGGCACTGTTGTACGTCTGTGACTGATTTACTTAGAATTGAACCTTCAAAATTTTAGTTGGTATCCCACATTTACCTTTGGGCTACAAGCTACAACATATTTACCTTCCATCATAAAGGCAAGCAAAGATCTCCTTCTGGAAGGATCTTCAGGATGTTCGTCCAATCACTTTTAGACACATTTCTTAATTAACTCACACACCTGCACTTTAAAGATAGTCATGCAAACAATTTAATACTCTGCTGGATGACATAGTATGTCAAATAACTGACACTGTATGTGTGTTTAAGGTCACAGAAACAGGCCTAACTACTTTTGATGCTGCAATGTACATGCCACTGAAACCAGTCTCAGCATGTTGATGCAAAGCGCAACAGTGCATGTCGGCATTTATATGTACATTATTTCACATATATTCAGTACTGTTGGGATTTGTAGCCACACGCAAGCTTAACTGTATATCTGTTTTTGGTTTATCTTTGTCTTCCGGCACTTCCTGTATAGTTTGGGCAGTGGTTATGGTGGGTAGACCACATACTATGCCTGCTCATGCACAATTTGCAACAAGTTAAAGCCTAAATGGTGTGGGATCAAATAAAAATAAGTGGTACTGAAATATAGTTTTCATTAGTGGCTAGTTTGCGTTAAATATTCTCACGTATACTGCATATCCAGGGGCTACTTAATTTTTTTCTCACAAGTGTGGTGGTTTATATTAACATGTAATGTTTAATGTATTGGTGCTTACATGTTCTCGAACCGAAACAAATAACAAGCATTCTTATATACAGTGCACTGTTTTTGTTCTGTAGAGTGGAAGTTACACAGCAAGAACACAAAAGAGAAATTTTAAACAACACTAATCATGCACTTCTTAAATTTAGATTTTTTTTTTTTTTTTTAGCCGGACAGCCCTAAAGCTGATTTAAAGAGAAAATGGAATGAATGTGAATTAATTTCAGTTTATTTAATGAATAAATTAAACCACACTAAAAAACAAAACAAAAATGTAGTAGTTTTTACAAGATAATTTTGGCAGCTGTGGTTGTCAGAATAGTTTTATAAAAAATACAAAAAAAACTGTAAACACATTTACAGAACAAACTGTAAATTTTACAGTTTAAAACTGTAATTTACAAATAAGAAAATTTGAATGTAAACCAGTAAATTCAACAACGCACACTGCTACTAAAATCTATTTTGTAATAATCAAAGTTCATCACAAGTAGGGCTGGGCGATAAAACAATAATGATAATTATTGTGATTTAATTTTCCTCGATAAAACGATCCCAAGAGTTTCATAAATGGTCGATATAATTTTTACTCACTGATAAGTCTCGGTCACGTGACCTCTAAACAGTGATGTGAGATCCAGTGTGAAGTGTAGACATATTACTTGGTGATTTAAACTAGTTGAAACAGCGCTGACAAACAGGAGAAACACTGTGTTACACACAAGTCAGAAGGCTTTTCAATCTACAAATCGCCATCATTTACCGTGAATTTACTTTACTGCACCATGGTATTTATTGTGGAAATGTGGGGTGTTCATATTGAATTTTATTATTATTAATGTAGACGTATTAAATGTATTAAAGGAGTAATGGAATATAAGTATTTTTTGTGATTTAAGCTATAGCGTTTGTACTTTTATACTATAGTATTTAGACTGCTGTTTTTCATACAAATACCTAGAAACCATATAGTTACATTTTTACCATGGTATTGAGATGCAATATGTGTGGTTTTTAACGGTGGTTATCATGATCTAAGTGTATGCTACTCTGGAAGACCAATGGTTAATTTTAATAAAACTCAGAATTTTTTCAGAATAATTGAATTTCACCATATAAAAATGAGATTGTTACATTTTTTACAGATGTTACTGTTTTTGATAATAAACATACATTTACATCTGCATCCTAACTCAAGCTACTACTACTGTCAACTCATGCTACTGTCAAATGTGCATTTCTGAGAGAGAGGGAGGTAAAAAAGTAATATTATTAATATTGCAGCCTGCACTGCAAACTGTGCTGAAGATACTCGTCATCAAAGTCAGAACACAAACCTGTTTCATGATTCTACAACTTTCACTTAGGAGCAAAAATCTGCCTTTAAACTTGAAAGAAATAACAATTAATTTACCATGATAATTATCGATATCGACTGATGTGAAAAAAAAAATTTATCGTGATTAAATCTCAAGTAGCTTTCCCACAAGCTGAAGTATATACTAATATACAAAAGGTGCACAGAGTCATTCACGCAAACACAAAACACCATCACGGTAACACACAACACTTAAATAATGCAATAAACATTCATTAAACAACAGAGAATGTAACATAAAACCCTAATGTACATAACTGATAACAAAAACTATTAAGAAACATGATTATTTAAATAAAATACTTTCAAATGTGGGGTTTCACGCAGGCAATATCAGTTTACAGTTTTTGACTGTAAATTATACGTTGATTTGTTCTTTTTTTACTTCTAAAAACTGTACAATTAACAATTACATGAAAAACATTACATGAAAGGTCTGGTTAGATCTTTTATAATTTTCCACTGTGTATAGTACGGGAACTTACTGTTAACCTTTTAAAAAAAAAAATTTTCTTAGTTTTTTAAAAATGTTTTACTGTTAAAATGACTCCTTTTTTATTCATGATTCATTCTGAAGGTGCATTATTGTAACATTTGCTTGTCAAAGAAACTAAATGTTTACAGTACTTTTGAAGGACACAATCACAGAAGAATACTTTCATTTCTGTTTCAGGGAGGGAACGGGCGTCATGAGCATGTCACCTTCCTGACGAATGAACGGAAGATGGCACCAGCACGGAGGGCGAGCATTGCCGTGGGGGTCTTCATCGCCCTGCTGGTAGTGGCTGCAGTGGTCGGATTTCTTGTGTGGCTCTTCGTTGGTACAAAGATTCACCAATCATACCTAACTTGCTCTGAAATGATGAAGGTTACACACCTACACTGTTTAAATGCTGTTTAAATGTTTGGGGTCTCTTATTGGGGTCTCACCAACGCTGAATTTATCTGATCAAAAATACAATAAAAATTTAATATTGTGAAATATTATTACAATTCATAATAACTTTTCTATTTTAATGTATTTTAAAATGTAATTTATATCTGTGATGGCAAAGCTTAAATTTCAGCAGCTATTTCTCCAGTCTTCAGTGTAAAAAACAAAAAACAAAATTATATATATATATATATATAACACACTGACTCCAAACGTTTGAACGGTAGTGTACAGTTCCTACTGTTGTTAATTAACAACATCTATCCCTCTCTCAGTCAGGAGCAAAGAATTGGAAAATGAGTCCACCATTCTTAAACACAGCCCATCCACACTGGTTTACAGCGGACAAATTAAGCTTCTCAAACCAGAGTACAGCCCGGTGTACGACAATCCCGACAGTACAGAATTCCAACAAGTGGCGAAGGACTTGGAAAGAATTGTGAGTGTTTTTGTTTTTCTTAGACTTTTCTTTGCTGATGGTGTTGTAAGTCTTCTGGTGACCTTGACTTTCTTTTGAGACTTCAATGACTGTACTAAAGCTTTTAAAGACTTTTAAGGGTCTTTACACTCCAAAGATGTCATAAAGCCGCCTTTGAGGTGACCTACGTCACAAAAAAAGGGCTTGTATACTTATTGTTTGGATGCAACATATATCACAAGCTTGATTGTTGATTGTGTAGCCGACAGAGAAGAGGCTGTCTCTTATATAATGGATAAAGATGTAAATTTTTTCATCCTCATGGCAGTGAGTGGCAGTCTGTTGTTGTTTTTCGTTGTAGTATATTAATTTTCAAAAAATAATGACAGTTACTATTTTCAGACAAGGCAGTCAGTATGTTTTGGTTATTCCTCGCTGTCTCTCTATGATGCACATGGTCACTAACTTCTGTAGACTCAATAGGCAGGGATGTATAGTGTGTTTCTAGCAGGCCCGTTACTGTTTGATTTAGTTTATAGGCTTTACTGGCTAGTCTCAAAGGGACTGTTCTGTCAAATCTGTGTATTTCTTCCCAATCATGCCAATAAAGCCAGTAAACAAAAGCTGACTTTTTAGGTGACAGTCACATTACAGGCTATGGGAATGTCACAAGACTCATCATGTCATATATTTTATTGTGAAATAAAAAACAAAGCATTTTTTTAAAGAAAACCGACTGTTTTAGGATATTCAATATTCTTCTATCAATATTCGTCTTTAACATTGTATAAATTATTAGATTTAATTTTTTTGTTATTGATTTAAACTATAAATAAAACATACAATAAGTATATTTTAAAAGTTGTATTGTTACTATTTATCATTGAACTTTTATATCTTATTATAATTGTGTTAAACATAATCTACTGTTTCCTTTTCAGATGAACAATACATTCACCAGAGATCCCCTCTTTTCCAGATACTATACCAAGTCTGTCATCACTGCCTTCAGGTACAGCTGAACCACAGATCCTTGATTCAGATGAAGCGGAATTTATAGCATGCTCTCTAAATCAAAAAGTTTTTAAATGAAGGAATAGATCATTCTGTATGTCTTGATTTTAATGCTTAGTGGTTCCGCTGATAGAGATAAATTACAAGTCTCACAGAATCTAGGTTAAAAAAAATCACCCTAATAGAATACAAATTATTAATTTCCAGTTCAACTATTACTACTGCTCATGCTCAGGGTTGGGGACCATAAAAACAGAGCGAAAATCCATTACACCGAATCAGAGTATCATGCATAATGAGCTCTTTTTTGATTTGGGTCAGAAACCATCTAGACCGAGCATAGCATCATTCTTAAAATCACACAAAACACCATAGCAACTAACATTATGCAAAGCAAATCCTAAAATTGGTATCAGTACATTATGCATGAGCAAGTACTACAAAAATCAAGTTGTACTTTCATTCAGTAATATGTCTTATTTGCACCATCATGCATCTGCAGTGAAGGAACCTTAGCGTATCATTGGTCTCAATTTGACATTCCTGAGACGGACCAAGAGATCGTCCCAGAGCTGTCGGAGGATCGTGTGGTCGAGGCTCTGCGGAGGGGCATCCGACAGGGGGGCAAACAAGTCGGGAGCGTTGCAGTCACTACCAGCGACATCACTGCTTCAAGTAAGATGATTGGTAATTTATAAAGAGAGCATGTTTGCTCCACACAGTCACAGTGCTGTAATTTGGATGAGTTAAGGAAGATGATATTGAAAATGGTTGTGAAAAACAACATTATGATTCTTTTTGTAGCAAAATGCAATGACTATCATGTATATAAATTACAAAAACAATGATTAAAAATGTATGAAATGGCTCCTTAAGGAGCACTGACGCTTTTTAATAACATTGTAGATAGCGGTAGAGTCTTGACTCCATTGTGCAGCTCAATGCAACCCAGTAATTCTTTGTTTTTGAAGAAAAAACTGTAACTCTCTGTCCTTCTCTGGTCCCCATATGCATTATATACATGAGAGCAGGAGGCCTGAGTGACACCTCAGTGCCCTGCTTAAAATGATATCTCTGTACGGAGAGTCATGTCGCTGTAGTGAGGTGAGAGACTGCTATTTGTGAACGTTGGAGTCAAGGTGAGGGGTGGAGGAGGAGGAACAGAATGTCTGACAGGCCTTTGGAAAATGGAAGGAAAGAGGTGTGAAAAAAGTACAGCATGCATCATTTCCTCTCTCTCTCTCTCTCTCTCTCGCTCTGTCTCTGCAGCCACAGACCCTCGGATGGCTAGGGACCCCAGATCCAGTGAGTAAAGTGTGTCCCATTTCAGTCACCGCTGCACTGTAATTTTCCACCTGGGTGTATATTAGTTATGTAGGCTATATTTTAATAATGAAGAGCATTGAGTTTGGTCTTTATCATCTTAGTCCATTATGCCACGTTTTGCGGTGTGAGAGGAAAATAATATGTACATATTCATTATATTAATAAACTGTATATTGGATTTGTGTCGATTGCAAGTGACGTCGCAGGTATCGGAGAGTGCAATTGGAGATTGCAAGTGACATTGTAAGTTTTTCTTGTCTTCACCACCTGGCTACTGTTGTAAAATGTTGAGAGATTCAAACAAAAAGAATAAATAAATAGAACAAAATAAAAAAATAAAGACTGCAAGTGACGTCGCTAGCGGAAGTGCAAGTGTCTGAGAGTGCAAGTCTGAGAGTGCAAGCGCAAGGCTGCAGCCAGACCCTTTTGGAATGATCTGCATTAAACCAAGTGCATGGAGGTTTCTTATGGCTTTAGAGTCAACATGAAAGCAAAATAGACCCGTTTTTCTTGAATTAAATGTTTGGCTTGTAATCTTGCATAAAAATGAAATAACTTGATTTGTAGGCTTTCCTTATTTGAGACCAGGGATTCTTAAAATGTTTGTCAGCCAAGCACATTGACCTAAAATATTAAATAAGTACCCCCTGAGAGTTAATATTTAAATATTAAAGACCTTAGCATATTTACGGTTGTCTGGGCTACTGGTCACATGACATGCAGGTAAACAAATAAAACTGTTAAATAAATACATTTATTTATTAATTTTGAAAATGTATTTTTTTAAATGATTATTTTATGATTTAATTTGCTATTCATTAACTCACAAACCACTCCAAGCTTAATGTTTAATGTAATATTGTTTTAGCATTAATCTTTAAGGTTATGTCAATAATGGTATATTTAAAAAATAATTAAAAATTCATTTAATTTTGACTTCAAATTCCATTTGATGGTCTCCAGTGGAGAAGAAAAAAAAACAGAAGTACATTTTCATGTAATAATGTTTACATAAAAACCTGTTTCAATTTTGTTAGAGCTGCTGAAGTGAGATTTGAAGTTAAAAATGGGCTGGAGTACTTAAAAAGTGACAACAATAATCAACCGCAAATTAATGATTTCAAAACATTTAATTTTTTATTCTGTGGTTATGGTGATGTTTTGGGTGTTATTTTGTGGTCTGTTTGGGACATACACAGTGATTGATTAAATATGCCTTCGTTTAGTTTGCAGCACTCACTTTCTTACAATCCAGTCAGTTCCTGATGTACAAAATCAAGTCTCGTCCTCTTCTTTTTCTCATTCGATAAACCATGTCACTCTGTAATATGTCACAATAGGGAAGAAAATCTAGTCACAGTTTTGGTTCATGCAGACTTTAAGGTGTTTGAGTGACCTCTTGTCCATCCAAGAAGCCACTTGTTATCACTCGATTCAACCACATTGAGGACGCTAAGGATCTTTAGTGCTTCTTATACTTGCTGCACAGCAGTTATCATCTGATGTATCTGTTGAGTACTTGAGCTAGTTTGTTATTTACCAGAACGCAATAAGATCAGATCTTTCTACTTTTCCTATCTCTGTTATCAGAGAAATGCTTTTACAGTCTCATAGCTGAAACCACCAACAAAGAATTTACATCTCCTGAACACCCTAAGAGATTCCCAATTCACTCCCGATGCCAGTGGCAGATCCGCGCTCCTAAAGGCTATGTCATCATTGTCAAGTTCAGGACCTTCCACATAGAGGATGACTGTGCCAATGACTACGTGGCCATCTATGACTCTCTCAGTCCTGACAGCACATATGCTATCACAAAGTGAGTACATGCCACTTTCACACCTTTGTGTCATTTAGGTTTTACCATGACATACAGTAATGTTTAAAGGAATGCTCTAAGTTAAAAACCAATTGTGCTCTGTCAGTATCAATTGAATACCATACAAACCTTTCCCTAGTTTATTGAGCAATATAAATAATTTTTTCCTTTTTTATTTAAAAAAAAAAAAAACACTTTTAGGGAATTCAGATTAGCATGTGCTGTCATTTCTGCATACAACCAATCTTTTGTTTTTTTTACCTTATGCTCACCAAGTCTGCAATTTATTTGCAGTAAAAATTACAGTAAAAACAGTAATATTGTGAAATATTATTGGAATAATATAAATTTATATTTTAATATATTGTAATTTATTCTTGTGATTTTAAAGCTGAATTTTCAGCATCATTACTCTAGTCTTCAGTGTCACACGATCCTTCAGAAATTATTCTAATATGCTGATTTGCTGCTCAAGAAACATTATTATCAAAGCTAGAAACGGTTATGCTGCTTAATATTTTTATGAAAACTGTGCTAAATTTGCTGATTTGCTGTATCTTGAAGCCAGTGTGCTCTGAGCATAACCACCAGTCAGCCTCTTTCCCCCGTTTCCAAGGTGAAGGTGTTTCTGTGCATCACAGCCATACAGTTCTTAATAATGTTGTTACGCCCCAGGTATCTCTCTCTCTCTCTCTCTCTCTCTCTCTCTCTCTCAATTTTTCAATTCAAAATTGCTTTATTGGCATGACTGTAAATGATACAATATTGCCAAAGCTTAGTATACATGTACAAAAAGATAAAAATAATAATATAATAACAATAAGTAAATGAACATCACAGTAATATAATGGAATATTATAACATCTTAGAAGTATTAAACTGTAACAAATTATAACATGTGAACATTTGATACCACAGTCTTTAACTTACATAGAAATACTCATACATACTTCGGATCACTGTGGTGGACAGTAGGGTAACACACTGAGGTCAGACACAACACACATTCACCTGCTGTCTCTCTCACACTCACACACACACACACGCACACATTCACCTGCTGTCTCTCTCTC